TCAGTCGGTTGGTGTACTGTCACGTGATTACCAAATTTTCTCGGATGGGTAGATTACCACATTTCCTTAGCTATGGGGCTCCGCCCATGCGCAGCGCGAAGCACTGCGTGTGGAGCTCCACTATTAATGGGGTTTGACTGTATTACCACTGATAAAAAGTAAACAGACAAGCACTTGTCTTGAAATTTCCTTCTGCTACAATTTACTTCCGCCGCAGTGAAGTTCAAGTTTCTCCACTGAAACTGATCTCGAATGAATTATTAGTCTTAAAACACTTTCAGTATTAAAATCTTGACATTTACTCCAGCGTTTTGTTCTTAGAAACGTTAGGTCGCTGTTGTATGTATTAAAAAGTTACAATGCGTGTAAAAGCAAGAGGTTTCAAATTACACCTAACATATGCAAATTTTACTTCCAAGTTAAAAGGCTTTGAACTATCTTGATACGAACACAAACGGTACACAAGACATTTCTTTTATCATTTATTCAGCATTATCTATGCCTTCCTGTTTTTTGTTCTACCCCTTGAGGTAATTTTTGAAGTCACCTTAGGAACAGACAAAGGAAAGCAATGTTGTAGAGAGGTGGCGGCTGTTGTAAAGAGGCTACAAAAAGAATAATTTTTTAACCCATCAGGACAAACAAAGTGGACATCATACTTTGTAGAGAGGTAGCCGTACTGTAGAGGTTCAACGGTAAACAGTGTTTCAATTATTCAGACACCTGAAATTTATAGTTCTGCACGAATAGAAGTTTTAAAAACTGATTAATCTTCCACCTTCCAGCTGTTCCAGACGCTTCACCACCTAAACATTTTTTTTTTACTTTTAGCACTCGAAAAGTGAAATCCCTGTCTAGATGTAAGTGTTACAGCACTGAGACACAGAATCTGTTTAACAGTTTCACCACAAAAACAGAGCGGTTGGGGCCGGGCTTGAGCCGCTGGTTGTTTTGTACATGTGTGATTGATTGCAGCTCGAAAATTGTCCCATTGCCAGCTAAAAGAAACGTTTGTTAAGAAAGGCACTCTTACTGTTTTACTGGCCCTTAGCAGACCTGTACGTGTGCGTCACTCAAATATAAAAAAAATGCAGTTAAATATTGGTTGATAATAACGAGTCCTTTCAGGTATTCGAACTATGCACTCACCTGTATGATGGCAGAAAAGGAAAAAAGATATACAATACACAACCAGCAACATGGTTGCTCCCTTTAAGTCCTCAGAACTAACAGCAGCTCAATAAATAGGATCTTTATCCAGACTCACAACTTTAAAGAATGGTCGATGGAACTTGAACGCAGTCACAAACGGGAAGTTTGCGGTACTGAATACGTCATGCCAAACAAACATATAGTCTCCATTGCCCCATGATGCATTGCGTATGCCTCGGTTTGGTGCGAGAACTGAAAGGAATAGCATTGCCGCATTCCAAGAGCATAACGTAATCGAAACGTGACGTCTTTAAAAAACGTCGCCAGTTTCGCCTTTACTCTCATTATTATGTGAACCACATAATAGTACCGTGAAATCTTTCTTGTTGTATGTGTCGCACAGAATTAATCGGACGGCTAAGAAAAGCGCGCGTGACAAAGGTTCCGAAATCATGACAAAGAGGTGTTTCCTCTTACGTTATTCCACACACACCCAAGATGATATATGCATTGACAAAATCCAAAAATAATGCTCCTTCGTAGCTAAGTCTAATTAGATTCGCTTCCTTTCGAATGTTTTAATAATACACGACCTAGAATTTTGATGGGCTCCTGACCTGGCTAATAAACTAAAATAAACATATTCACCTTTTTTTCTTTGATAATTTAATATTGTTTATAGCTTTATACACACGCACCATACAATTGTCCTTGTGGTTGTCGTTAGCGTTGTTGTTTTATTTTTTGTTTGTTTGTGATGATCGTGTGTGAGAGAGAGTTTCTTTTTCACAATATAATATAATAATCTTTATTAAGATGACTTTTTCATATAAAATATGGTTTTCAAAAAGGATCTCATAAAATTAAAATACAAAATACACACAATTCGCAAAGACATTAAAAAGCTAAACTATGTAAAAACTATTAAAATGTACAAGATATTAAGAGTGAATGTCTGTAAATATCGAACAATCGGCGGCCACGGTCAAAACTTTAAATTTCGCTCATATCTTGTCCATAGATAGGTATTAGGTAAGTAAATAAAAGTGGTGTAGTTTGTTTTTCAGAAGGCTGCTTGGATTTGGAGAAAATCGACAAAATTTACACTAAAAGCACAATGTTTACGAAAAAGCATTAAGTTTACTTTTCCAGCAAATTCCTTCTTGAGGCCTTATACAACGGAGCAGGAGCCCTCAGATAAATTAAGGCATGGGCCGAAAATGATTCAGTGAAAAAGTGATGGGGGGTGGTCTATCTCTGATCACTTATAAGCACTAGAAAGATGAGACTTTGCCAGATACATACCTGTGTGGTTTCTGTCAATTGTTTTTTGTTTTTTTTTTTCAATCATGCAAATGTTGTCACGCGACTCCACACGGTCAGAAAACAATAAAAAGTCTTTAAATAAAAATGGCAACACTTTTTGTTGTGAGTTATTAAACCGGATTGGTTTAGGATAATATGTAATACTAGCATCTACAAAACTGTGCTTGGCCTTTTTTGAATTTTTTACTGTTTTAGAAAATAAACGGTTTTTTCAGCTAGACCCAGTCCCCCAAGGCATTTCTATCAGATCTTTTAATAACGTCTTCGCTTTGAAATATCTAAACTAGTAGTAATCATAGATCAATGAGTGCGTTCGAGTTTTCTAAGCTCCAGATTAGCTTTTGTGTCGTCAAGCATTATTTCAAAATCATGGAAGAGATCATGAATGAAAAGGTAAACATTCTTTTCGTAAAAAATGTTCTTCGCGTATAAGGCTTCAAAATATCTCACTCATTAACTCTTTACTCCTAACATGTCTCACTCTCCCTCAAGCATGGTCGATAAAAATGTAAAGTAGATCGTAAAAAGTTCTTTGTTGTTAAAAAGATAAACATGTCACTACAAACGTCGAAAAAATGGTAGCCTCGAAGGTTAAAAGTCCTGGCTACTTGCGTGACACAACTTGAAGTGAAAACAATAATCATAGGAGCGACGGAAACATATTAGGTTTTTGCTAGATTACTGATGTCAGAGAGCCGGACAGAATCTTTTGCCATTGTGCAAACTTTTCATCTCATGATTATTTTAAAAAAACCTGTAAATCAGTTCAACATGTTTTAAACTTAGCTTGCTTCAGCGAGAGAGATACTTATCATGCAAAATTGCCCGCGTAGAGATATCAGACGTGAATAAAGCATTACAGTTGTAACAACCTGCACTGATACGCTCAAGCTTAGTTTTTCGTGCATGAAAGAGGTTAAACTAACTAGACTCAAACGCACGGGTAAACTTCTCACGGCACAAATGTTACCTGGTCTTTATTTGTGTGTTTCTACGAAGTTCCAGCTCGATTTGAACGGCATTGACCGAAAAGTGTACCAGAATCATCAGCTAAGTGATGAAACCCGCTTAGAAAACAACTCCAAAGTTCACGATCATTCTTTTGCCGAACTCAAATATTCCCGTGTAATCATCTTGTTGACACATTGTCCTAAACCAGTCCGGTTTAATAACTCACAACAAAAAGTGTTGCCATTTTATTGTTTTCTGGCCATGTGGAGTCACGTGACAACATTTGCATAATTGAACATCACCTAATTGACAGAAACCACACTGGTATGTATCCGGCAAAGTTTCATCTTTCTACTGCTTACGTGCTCAGAGATAGACCACCCCCCATCT